GAAATTGTTGAGCATAAAAATCATTACGGACAAAATGTTTAGTTAATTAAAGAAAAGACAAGCTTACATTGAACTGACGAAGCAGAGCCTCTGCCTTTCTGGCTTCTTCACCATCGTCATCATCACCGACCTCACTGCACTAATTCACATCACATTACTACTATTGCTGGCATCACTGGTTTGATTGGTAACATTGTTGGTCGTAGCAGTTTGTCTCCATCTTTCCTTCTACTTACCCCTTTGTCCAGCTTGTACTTGATAGCCCAATATTTTAAGCACGCGGCTCAGGTGGGAACTCCTTTTTGCGGCTCCATCTCAGCCATCAAAGTGATCTCAACCAGTGTTTTCAAAGCCATGCCTTCGCGCGCGTCGGAGCGAGGAGGCAGCAAATAGCCTCAAGGCGTCGTTTGTTTCGCGACTTGCACGTTTAGCGCGGGGAAGGCGTGGCGAGGCGGGGCAAGGCGCGCCAGATCTGGACATTCTGAACTGGAAGAAATTTTGCGAGTCTGCTAATTGGCTGCGGCTCTGCGAGCAAGACGACTCGCGTGGTTTTTGTTTTAGGTTCATTGTAATGAAACCACGTCGTTTCGATTGAAGTGTTAAAAACAAAAAAACAAAAAACTTAAAGTGAAACGACGTCGTTTCACTTGGAGTGTTTTGAAAAAGAATAAACACGCAAGTTTCTGTTGTTTTTTTTTTCCTTCCCTTTATTGTAATAAACTTAAGCAAGAAGAATTAATAGTTTCTTATCTCCAGCCGACTGTAGCTTTTCTACTTACCTTTTTTTTTCTTTTTCTTTTTTGCTAAATTAATATATTAACACATGGAATTATATATATATTGTATAGTCCAACCCTAATTTCTACCTTTACTATATAATCTCCATCAATTTCAAGAATTCTCTTCATCTTTCGACTGCAAGTAAGTCATTTTGTTTTTCTCTCTAATTCTTCGCAACTGTAATTTGAAGTTCCGTATTTTTTTTTTCAATTTTTTTTTAAAATATATTAGTTATCTTATTCGTTTATGTGATATAGTAGAAATTTGATGTATATGCATCATACTTGTATCTTATAAATATTAATGGTGTTGTTTTATAGCTATGATATTAGTGTTGAGGAGTGGGATGAGTGAATTATGTTTTTGTTCTGATGTTGAATAAATATTTTATGTTTTGGGATTGATTATTATGCTTTGAATGTCAATTAGTACTTATATTTAATTATATTTAAAAGATTGTTATGGTTCAATAAGAATTAGTTGTACAATTTAATTGTATTGTATTATTCATAAATTTTTCTTACTAAAATAAATTAATGTTCAAAAGGCTTACGCCTCGTGTAGCGCTACTAAAAACACCTTACCTACACGCCTCGCCTTTGAAAACATTGATCTCAACAGCTGGAGAGAAGCTTACAATAGAAATGGGTACGATGCCCTTCCCCTTAGCGTACATGTCCTGGCACGCCTTTTCCAATCCCGCCTTTCTTCCATCCAATCCCGCCTGTTTTATTTTTGACTCCCTTTTGTTCTTCTCAAACAAATTCTCCTCTCTCTCTCTCTCTCTCTCTCTCATCTGTTTGTTCTCTCTGTTAGTGGCGATTGGGTTAGGGTTGATAACAATTACTGTTCACATTTTTCCCATCTCCTTCACGCACATAGTACCCAAACACCACCATCGCCTCCCTCAGACATCTATGAATCCCAAAAAAATCTTTTAGTTTTTAGAATTCTAACCTTCAAATATATTTCTTAGGGGGGTGTATTCAATTAAGAGTTTCAAAGAGTTTAAAAGAGTTTAGAAGTTTAGGTGTATTCAATTCAGATTTTAAAAGAGGTCGTAAAAGTTTGGGTGTATTCAATTCAGATTTCAATTTATATTAAAAAAAATACATCGAAATCTAGGTGTATTCAATGATGACTTTTTAAAAGTCAAACAAAATTTAGGTGTATTCAAAAAGTAAGCCGACTGTAGCTTTTCTACTTACCTCTTTTTTTTTCTTTTTTTTTTTCCTAAATTAATATATTAAAACACACACACACATATATATATATATGGTACAACCCTAATTTCTACCCTTACTAGATAATCTCCATCAATTTCAAGAATTCTCTTCATCTTTCGACTGCAAGTAAGTCATTTTGTTTTTCTCTCTAATTCTTCGCAACTGTAATTTGAAGTTCCGTATTTTTTTTTTTCAATTTTTTTAAAAATATATTAGTTATCTTATTCGTTTATGTGATATAGTAGAAATTTGATGTATATGCATCATTCTTGTATCTTAGAAATATTAATGGTGTTGTTTTATAGCTATGATATTAGTGTTGAAGAGTGGGATGAGTGAATTATGCTTTTGTTCTGATGTTGAATAAATATTTTATGTTTTGGGATTGATTATTATGCTTTGAATGTCAATTAGTACTTATATTTAATTATATTTAAAAGATTGTTATGGTTCAATAAGAATTAGTTGTACAATTTAATTGTATTGTATTATTCATAAATTTTTCTTACTAAAATAAATTAATGTTCAAAAGGCTTACGCCTCGTGTAGCGCTACTAAAAACACCTTACCTACACGCCTCGCCTTTGAAAACATTGATCTCAACAGCTGGAGAGAAGCTTGCCCGCCAATCTAGGAGGTAGAGTGAAGGGCCTTGGCTCTGTCTTGGGCCTGTTTCCTTGGTACTTGGGTATGTTACTCTATTTTGCTGTTTCAGTATTTCAGCTTTTGTTGTTGTTTGGGATCGTGATATGTTTTTCCGTAAACTGGTTTTTGCATCGACGGCTCCCTCTTTCTCGCCAACTCTCTCTCTCTCTCTCTCTCTCTCTCTCTCTGTGTCCATGAGAGCCTCCCTTCCGCCATTCCATAGGTAACAACTGTCCTTCCTTATCTTAGAATTATTTTCTATGTTTTTTGAAAATTCAATTTCTATATCCCTAATTTGATTTAGGGTTAAAATATTTGGGTATTGAATTGTAATTTATCCGGGAAAATCATTATCTTTTTACATATTTTTTTTTATTTATATAGGGATTAGGACAAATTTTTTGAATTTTTTTTTAGTATATAGGGATTTATACTAGTATAGTGATTATGTGCGAATATGCATTTGTTTCTCAATTGTTTATGAGATTCTGAATCATTTCTTGGTGTTTGTGATTTGTTGTTGTAACAAGAGATGAGTTTGTTCCTCAAAAGGAAGGGAGTTGTCAGTTGAGTACGTGGAAAATGATATTGACATCTTCCAGAGTGTGAATGATTGGCCTGGTATTGTAATTTTCAAGTTATGATCTCTGAAATAAAATTGATAGCATGTTAGACATAATTATTGTTCAATGTGCGGATCTTTTTTCAAGTTCAATTTTTGGTGAATTTTTTTTTTGGTTGAATTTATTATGATTTTTTGAAATTAAGGCATTGGAAAATACTAATAAATGGAAGAGAATGACACATGGCAGCGCCAGATTGGTGCGTCATCATAGTTTCCCACAAGTGTCAGTATTGCATGGCGACATGTGTCATCAGAAGTTCATTTTTGTATCTTAAATGTAAAAAGTTCACAAAAAATGAATACAAAATCAGAAAAATGCACAGCAAATTTCTAAAAATCCCTTGCAACATTATCTTTGACTATGATGTGTGAAAACAAATTCTGAATTTTGGAAATTTGAAGTGATAATTGGAGAAAGAGTTGTTGTAATAGAGAGTAATGATGTTCAACATAGTATTATTGTTAGTATAGAAAAAAACTTGAGTTTGAGAAACTATTTGAATTTTGTATAGGTTTTAAAGCTTAAAAGAGGAAGGAAATGTGATAAGGAATTTGTGGGATTTTTTGGTGAATTTTTCAGATTTTGTATGAATATATTATAATTTTTTGAAGTTAAAGCAATGAAAAATACTAATAAATTGAAGAGAATGAAACATGGCAGGGGCAGATTGGTGTGTCATTAGAGTTTCTGACAAGTGTCGATAGCGCATAGTGACACGTGTCAACAGAGGTTCATTTTTATATCTTAAACGTAAAACATTCTGAAAAAATGAATAAAAAATCAGAAAAATCCACTGAAAATTTCTAAAAACTCATTGCGACATTATCTTTTACTATAATGTGTGAAAACAAAATTTTAACTTTGGGAAATTTGAAGTGATAATTGGAGGAAGAGTTGTTGTAAAGGAGTGTAATGATATTCAGCATAGTATTATTGTTAGTATCCAGAAAAATGAGGGTGCTCTCTCTTCAATGTTACAGTTCTTCCTCAATCAAAGCTGATAAAAAAAATTGCCTCCTCATTGAACTGAGTGAACAGCTGGTTTGGAGGGGACTTGTGTTTGGAGGCGACGTATGTTTTGGAGGGGACGTTTTGGAGGGAGAAGAGAGTATTGGAGGGAGAAGAGAGAAGAAGGCCTCGTTCTAATACAACACTTACACTTACAATTGCTTTTCATACAGCCGTTAGATTGGATCCAACGGTGTCGCCATTCCATAGGTAACAACTGTCCTTCCTTATCTGAGAGCCTCCCTTCCGCCATTCCATAGGTAACAACTGTCCTTCCTTATCTGAGAGCCTCCCTTCCGCCATTCCATAGGTAACAACTGTCCTTCCTTATCTGAGAGCCTCCCTTCCGCCATTCCATAGGTAACAACTGTCCTTCCTTATCTGAGAGCCTCCCTTCCGCCATTCCATAGGTAACAACTGTCCTTCCTTATCTTAGAATTATTTTCTATGTTTTTTGAAAATTCAATTTCTATATCCCTAATTTGATTTAGGGTTAAAATATTTGGGTATTGAATTGTAATTTATCCGGGAAAATCATTATCTTTTTACATATTTTTTTTTATTTATATAGGGATTAGGACAAATTTTTTGAATTTTTTTTTAGTATATAGGGATTTATACTAGTATAGTGATTATGTGCGAATATGCATTTGTTTCTCAATTGTTTATGAGATTCTGAATCATTTCTTGGTGTTTGTGATTTGTTGTTGTAACAAGAGATGAGTTTGTTCCTCAAAAGGAAGGGAGTTGTCAGTTGAGTACGTGGAAAATGATATTGACATCTTCCAGAGTGTGAATGATTGGCCTGGTATTGTAATTTTCAAGTTATGATCTCTGAAATAAAATTGATAGCATGTTAGACATAATTATTGTTCAATGTGCGGATCTTTTTTCAAGTTCAATTTTTGGTGAATTTTTTTTTTGGTTGAATTTATTATGATTTTTTGAAATTAAGGCATTGGAAAATACTAATAAATGGAAGAGAATGACACATGGCAGCGCCAGATTGGTGCGTCATCATAGTTTCCCACAAGTGTCAGTATTGCATGGCGACATGTGTCATCAGAAGTTCATTTTTGTATCTTAAATGTAAAAAGTTCACAAAAAATGAATACAAAATCAGAAAAATGCACAGCAAATTTCTAAAAATCCCTTGCAACATTATCTTTGACTATGATGTGTGAAAACAAATTCTGAATTTTGGAAATTTGAAGTGATAATTGGAGAAAGAGTTGTTGTAATAGAGAGTAATGATGTTCAACATAGTATTATTGTTAGTATAGAAAAAAACTTGAGTTTGAGAAACTATTTGAATTTTGTATAGGTTTTAAAGCTTAAAAGAGGAAGGAAATGTGATAAGGAATTTGTGGGATTTTTTGGTGAATTTTTCAGATTTTGTATGAATATATTATAATTTTTTGAAGTTAAAGCAATGAAAAATACTAATAAATTGAAGAGAATGAAACATGGCAGGGGCAGATTGGTGTGTCATTAGAGTTTCTGACAAGTGTCGATAGCGCATAGTGACACGTGTCAACAGAGGTTCATTTTTATATCTTAAACGTAAAACATTCTGAAAAAATGAATAAAAAATCAGAAAAATCCACTGAAAATTTCTAAAAACTCATTGCGACATTATCTTTTACTATAATGTGTGAAAACAAAATTTTAACTTTGGGAAATTTGAAGTGATAATTGGAGGAAGAGTTGTTGTAAAGGAGTGTAATGATATTCAGCATAGTATTATTGTTAGTATATAAATAAACTTCCATTTTTGACAAATATTTTTGAATTTTGTATATGTAAATATTATATTTTAAAGCTTAAAAGAGGAAGGAAATGTGATAAGAGTTTGTGGGATTTTTTGGTGAATTTTTCATATTTTGTATGAATTTATTATGATTTTTGGGGCACCGGTGTGGTACCGGCCGAAGGCTCTCCGATGCTTAAGTAAGTTCGGGAATAGAAAGTTCAACTGACAGATCAATAGGCTTGTATGCCGTAAGTTCTGATTACCTTTATTTTGGGATAGTTGGCCTCCTTAAATAGACTTTGATGTGTTGAGAAGCCCCAGTTAATCTCACTTGGATCCATTAGTGTCGGTGCATTCCTTTGTTGGGAGCCCAGCCCAAGATAAAAATTTCATGATATGCCCATTAAAATATTGGGCTACCAAGTGCAAGCTGGACAAGGGGGTAGGTACAAGGAAAGATGGAGACAAGCTGCTACGACCAACAATGTTACCAATCAAATCAGTGATGCCAGCAATGCTAGCAATGGGGGAAATGGCAGAGCAGAGTTTCGAAGGCCTTTATCTCCTAAAATTAGGGTTATTGATTTCCCATGTGCAAGACAATGATTTCATATCTCTGGACTTACTAAACATAGGAAAGCAATTGATTTTCCATGCTCAAGCCTCCTTTCTCATGAACCAAACGGGACCTAGTCCCTTTAAGCCCTGGAATGCATGAACTGTCCCAGGATTGCAGGTTGTGGGCCCCACCTTGTTCCACTAACATGAGTAACATATCACTTGGGATTAGATTCAAATTTCTAGTTCTTAAGCTCTCTCACAATTATGAACATAAAATTATTGTCGATACTTAGCGAGAAAAGAATCGAGAAATTTAGTGTAAATTTTTCTGGGACAATTAGTATATAGAGTGACAACGATTATAAGTCGGTAGTTTTGCAATATTCTTTTTTTTTTTTTTTTAAGTTTCAATTGTATTAGCTATGTCATGTGTTTCGGTTGCCCACCCCTTCAAGGGTTTGTTACAAAGGGTTGCCTATGATTTAGATGATATTCTTCATTCGAAGGACAATATTTGTATTTGGTTTTTAAAAAATTTCCATTTTCTTTGGTTGTAAGTCTTTTTTTGGACATAAAAAAGAAAACAAATTGGGAATTGAAAACCTTTCAGAGTTTTACTCCATTGGAAATTTGCTTATTTTAAAGGGATATGTGTGATAATTATCTCATGTATTTGATTCGTGATATAATTCCTTTTCCTTGGTGCCCAAGCAGGCAGCAAATCTGTCAAGCCTCTCCACGCTCAGAGAGAGAGAGAGAGAGAGAGTCCAATTTGAACTAAGAGGGTTCAATTTCAAGAGGAATTACAGATGAAGAAAGCAGTAACGCTTCAAATGTGTTTCAATTTCACGAGGGTTCTGAAAGTAATGGCTCCTCCTGCTGCTACTCCTACAATTCCAACTTCAACAACTCTTGTTGTCGGTCCTCCTCAACTGCTCACAAGAAGGTTAATGTCTTCTGACTCTAACCTTGACATGCCCGAGGCCGACAAGATCTCCACCTCCCCTATGTCGTTCTCCTCATGGTATTCCTTCGGTGATCCCTGCCTTGATCTGTTTTTTCATGTGAAAAGTCGAGATCAAGATCACATCAGTAACGACGATGAAGACGACGACATCAAGCAGGAGAGGCAGAAACAGACCTCCCATTATAACCATTATAAACTTAACTATCTGAAGCAACTGCTGCCGGTGGCCTGGTCCCACAATCCCCTGACCACCCTCAAGCTCATCTTCAATCTCCATTCTAGGATTATTCGCAAGGGAAGATATTATCCGGAAGCCTTTCACACAGCCGTGTTTTGGCTCCACCAGAACCACCCCAAGACGCTACTATGCAACCTCCCCCCCTTCGCCGGTTGGAAATGTGTTGGAACTCATTGTTGTCCCACATCGGATAGAGGGCCAAAGAGAAAGTAGTTTAAATAGAAATACCCTTCTCTAACTAATACCGAGGTCTTTTGTGATAAAACCCTACACCTGAGGATTGTGCAGGTGGTAAAGTGGGGACAGTATCGGTGTTGTTGGAGTGGGCCTTCGGCCCGTTAACCTGGAAAATTTGACATGGTATCAAAGCCAGGTTGCGGGCCCGTACTTGCCACGTGATGGGTAGGTCCCCGTTTGGCCCCGCGCGATGGGTGAGTCCCCGTTTGGCTCCACGTAGGCCAAAAGTGTCACGTGATGGGTGGGTCCCCGTTTGGCCCCGCGCGATGGGTGAGTCCCTACATGGCTCCATGTGGTTGCCGATATGTGGATCTCCACGTGTGACCCATAAAAATGGGGTCTCACGTGCGGGGGAGTGTTGGAACTCATTGTTGTCCCACATCGGATAGAGGGCCAAAGAGAAAGTAGTTTAAATAGAAATACCCTTCTCTAACTAATACCGAGGCCTTTTGTGATAAAACCCCACACCTGAGGATTGTACAGGTGGTAAAGTGGGGACAGTATCGGTGTTGTTGGAGTGGGCCTTCGGCCCATTAACCTGGAAAATTTGACAAAATGGGGGTTCGATAACCTTCTCGACATTCTCTACAGCCTTCTAGAACAAGGCCAAGACGCTACTGCAGAGGAGAGGCCCCACCGCGACCCTGACTATAAGTTGTTACACGACCAGGTTATGGATCTCTTGGCGGAGCGGTGGAAGTCTGATATTGAAAAATTTAGGCAGCACAAGCTGGAACTAAAGTCATTCCTAGAGTGGGACCAACTTGATGAGGCTGATCATCTTTTGGTATCCGGGACTGCAGCGGTTTGCAGCCTCCCCGACCCCCACACCAGCTCCATTTTGCTTCCTGAAAGCATTGCGAGGAGGCTTTTCCCACCAGAATCGGATCAATCCAAAGAGTGGGAACGGCTAACCGACGCTTTGGAGCCCTTTTTGAATTACTACATGCATCAAGCCTTACATCGGAACCGCACACGAGAGCGCTCTGAGGTTAAAAAATGTTTGGAGGAGGTGAAAGCAGCAGCTGCAGCAGGAGGCAATTTAGGAGGTGGCATAATAAAGCCGGATGCTTTGCTTCCAAATGAGATCATAAAATATGCAGAAGATGAGGATTTCTGGGAAGCGGCTAACCTTCAGTGGAAGGCAATGGTGGAGGACATGTACCTAAAGCAGCAGCAAAAGCAGGGGGAAGAAGGTTTGGGCAAATTTAAAAACTGTTTGGCAGTGTGTAACATCACCGATCACACGGCCAAATTACAAAGAGAATTGGAGGTGAGTTTGGGACTTTTGGTTTCGGAACTGAATGAAGATCCGGCATGGAAAGGAAAGGTAATCAGTTTCGGTGATTTGCCCGATGGTCAGCCTCAGCCGCTGCTGCATTCGATACAAGGCAATGATCTAAAGTCCAAGTGCGAGTTTATGATGAGGACATGTCGCATGAAGTCCAACAAGAGTGTCGATTATCGGAAGGTGTGTGATCTGATTCTGGAAGTGGTTGAGAATGAGAACTTGAAGGCAGAGCAGATGATCAAGAAAGTGTTTGTGCTCACCGACTGCATAGGATTCTTTAACTGCACCTCGAAGACTCTGTATGAAGCAAAACAGAGCAAGCTTGAGGAGCTTGAGGCTTCCGGATATGATGCGAGGCCATTGCCACACATTTTGCTTTGGGATATTAGTGACTGGAAGTATCCTCATTCAGAAGAACATCATCCAGGGGTGACGATGATGAGTGGCGTCAACAACAATTTGATCAAGTCCTTCATGGACAATGGTGGGGAAATTGGCCCGCGACAGGTCATGGAAGCAGCCATCGCTGACAAAGAGTTTCAAATTTTCTCTGTCGTCGACTGAACTTTAATTTTAGAGTTGAGTTATTTCCTAGGTATACCTAGATAGCAACATTTCTGCTCTGAAAGTGGAGAAACTATTGGTTTGCTTTCTCTGTCGTCGACTGAACTATAAATGAGGATCAAGATCAATCCATTGGATATTCGGAGGAAGTAGAATCGTAGTTTTAGTGAGTTTGCACTGATATATTGTTATCTGTGTTAGCTTAGATAGATAGATATATGTTTTAGTTAAATTTAATTTTTAGAGTTGAGTTATTTCCTAGGTATAGTTTGGTAAAGTGTAGTCTCCCTATTCGTCGTTTGAAATTGTCATGCTAAATGTGATGAAGAAACGTTTTTTTTTTTCACAAATCCAGATTAGAATATGAACTGGAACTTAAAGAAAATAAAACCGTACAATAACATAAGCAATAAAAAAAAATTACTAATAAACTTTAACAAAACAACTAATTAAACACAAATAGTAATAATAGTATAGGTTTCTACACTTAACAAGTCCCTAGTGAATCTAATCCTTGATTTCATATCCTCTTCACATCTTCCCACCTCAAGTTCATCTTCAAGTCCTCATATGCAGCCGCGAAAAATTTATTCACCTAATCAAACACTTAAAAAAAAATAGACATAGTATCACAATCTATATAGTTTTCGAAAACTCTTCTATGTGACATGTTATTGGTGCTTTTTTAATTAACTAAGACAATCTATATAGTTTTCGAAAACTCTTCTATGTGACATGTTATTGGTGCTTTTTTAATTAACTAAGAAGGTTTTTAAACACTTTCTATAACTAGATCTTGTTTTAGTGGTATTTTTCTTCACAATATTAGAAGAGATTGCAAGTTCAAATCCCCCATCCCGGTTAATATAAACATAAATAAAAGAAGACATATGAAGGGGTTTAAACCCCAAAATTAACCAGCTGATATTTCTTCGAAATGAAAGATGTGAGTTTTCTGAAGGCTGATTGATTGATATAGACACCCACAGCACAAGTTGAGCAAAAAGAATTAATTCCAAAACAATTTTTTATATTAAAAATGGTCTCTCATTAGGTAGTAAATCCCCTTATATTTGAGTCATGCAATGCAAGGCATGAAGGGTCACTTTCTGGGCCACACCAGAAGAACCCAACAGGACTGAATAGAACATGATCAACAAAAAATCATGGAGGCTCTTTTTTTACTCTCTCTCTCTCTCCTTCTCTTCTGGATTCTGATTCATTGCTCCTCCAACTCCAGAAATGAAAAACACATGTATCTACTGTGCTGTACCAAAGTGCCTGTACCCCACTGGCCCTGCTTTATGCATGTAATTATTATAAAGGTGAGGAGAAAAAAGAAAAATCATGAGATACTCGATGTTCTGGAAATTTACCAAGTATGAGCTGTTTTTCAAGCCCTTTTTAAACCCGCATTGAGAAATGTGGATGCCAAGCTAAAAGAGAAGCAATAAGAGAAAGTGAGAAACCAACTTCTTTCGGTGTTCCTTTATGTTTACTGCTTTGCTTCCATGATGCATAATATTTGCTCCATTTACAGAATGGTAACTGTAATTACTAAACATGGCAAAGAATTTCCAACTGTGCTGCATCCTTTTTTGATCCATTAGTGTCGGTGCACTTTCAGCAACAAAAATAGACCCCGGGGCTTTCACAAAGTGTGCCATTTTGGATTGCCATGCAGATATGGGCTTTGTCAATTTCGAAACCCCTTTCTCGTAGTTTAAATTAGTTTAAAGTAGATTTTAATGAGTAGAATTTCAACCCTTTGGTATATGCTGAATTCATCGCACTAAAACCACTTGCCACAGACAAATTCATGCAACCTGAAATCTGCAAGCTCAGTCTTTACCCAAAAAAAATACAAACAAATTGATGAAAACTTGTGCATAGAAAAATTGAGGAAATCCATCCAACAATAACAGGGGAAGATCAAATTCTTCAACTTGTTTGAATGCTGAATTCAGTAGAGGACATAACAGATTACAAATGTTACATTCTGAAATACATACTTCTACATCACTAACCAGAACTCCCATGGGGTTCAAATTTATAACACTTATATACACAAAGAAGAAAGACAGAAAATTGACACCAGAAAACAGAAGAAAAAAATATAGCTATTTTCACTGAAGGGGGAGGGAGCCGTGTAGTTTTGGACCTAAGAAAATTGTTTCAGCTCCTCAAACTCAATCTATACTAAAACAAAATGCTACCCAAGAAGACATGAGAAACGCGTGGAACCATTATCTTACAGAGCTCGCTGCTTTGTCGGGAGCCTTAAAATGTCCCAAAAGCCCTGAACCACCATTGAAATCCAAATAAAACTCTCTGTTTCTCCTCTTCTCTGGTTCCCATTTTTCTTACCGGGAGTCGCCGATTATAGATGAAAGAGCTAACCTGAGCTGATCCTGAGTGTAAATTCGGCTGCCCATTTTCACAGTGGCTTGTTGTATCATCAAATCATTGACTACAGAAATGCTGGCATGGTGTACATCCAAATCTAGCTCTTTCAGAGAAGCCATTAATCTGGCTGCAGGGTGGTTCTTCTTGCAACACTGAATTCGAATCATGGCGTCCCATCCGATTATCTTCACATCAATATCCAAGTCTATCAATTTACTACTAGCTTGGTGTTTAGACATTTTGAGGTCTTGGTCTGACAGAGAACTCGAGTCTTTACAACCCAAGTCCTGGTTCATCGACTCCAATTGCTTCTGCAAGTCCTCCTTATCGCTCTCCACTGTCTGCAGCTTCGCCTTCAGCTCGTTGATATACGATATGGCATCGCCCAGAAGCGATGCCTTGTCCATTTTCGACACGTTTGGTACCACCGCTCGGAGAGCATAGAATCTCTGGTTAAGCTTCTCTCTTCTTTGCCTCTCTGCTTCAACGTGGTTCAGGGGCTCTTCTCTCCCGTTGGCCGGTTTACGACCCCGTTTTCTCGGTCGTTTTTCGGGGTCCACAACCCGGCTACTATCAGTCTCCCGAACCACCGAGGCTTCAAGGTCGGAGTGGTCCGAATCGGCGGCGCCACCGCCGCCCGATTTCACGACACCACTGGACGGCAAAATCACCCCCGAGCTAAACGACAAGATCCCCTCGTCGTTGCTGCCGCGAGAGGGCGGCGACCTCTTCTTCTTGCTATTGTTATCCTCGGCGGCGGCAATTTGGGAGTGCCCCGAAAACAATTTTCCATTGGCGCTGTAAGAGCTCCTCTTGCTCTCACCGAAACTCAAAATCTCTCCCGATTCAGGCTTCAACGAATGGGAATTGGAATTGGAGTTCTTCACGCTGTTCCCGTCGTAACCATAATCGGAAAAATTGAGCTCCCTGGTGAAGAAGCTTTGCGTCTGCTGCTGTACTTGCTGCTGCTGCAGCTGCGATTGTTGTAATTGAATCGCGCTCGGGTTCTCCGATAAGCTACTGGAACTCGGCTGGTGGCTTTCGAACTGAATTGGCTTCGAGACGGGCTGTGTGCCGGTGCTGGTGGGTGCCGAAGTAACGGGAGCCATGTTCACCGGGTCCTTGACTTCGATGGTGGTGGACGACGGATCGTTAATCCAGAGCGACGACGGGTCGTTTTCTCCCTGATCCGCACCGCCGCCGCCCATAGGCCACGAACCCACTTCCAAATTGTTGAAATTGAACAAAACCCGGACTTTGTTTGTCAGATCCGAGCTCTGGTAGATGAGCTCCGTCGAGCCCAGCTCTACCACCCCATTTGCCGTCGGAACGCAAACCATAGTCTGCAGCCCAAACAACTGGCCCTGTCTCGCCCGCTCGCACTGGGACGCCGCCAGCCGGTCCGTTCCAGCAACCCAGACCGGGGTCGAGTGAAAGAAGGCCTGACCCGGAAGCCCGCCGCCGGGGACGAACGACTGAGTCATCGAGACCAGGAAGAACCACTCTGTATCGGTCACCTCCTGATCCACTACTGCGTCGTCTGCTGACGTGTCGGCGCCGGAAATCAAGGAGTTGAGCTCGCGGAGGACTTTTTTCCTGTACTCCTGGTCGGCGGCGGAAGTCGTTGTTTTGGCCTTAGCCTTGCCTTTGTCCCTCTCGTCCTTGTAAAACCCTTCACCCCACCCGAGAACGGTGCCGCCGGAGTAGTCGTACGAGGACTGCCAGAAGATGGCGTAGGTCCAGCTCTCGCGGGCGCCTTCGATGAGGGCCTGGAGGCGCTGCATGAGGGTCTCCTGGTTGAAGGGCGTGATGGACGGCTGAGATTGCGCGACAGCAGCCGCCTTCGGGTAGTCTGAAGTGGAGGCTGACGACTGAGGCTGGGCTTGGGGGTGAGCGGGTTGAGGCGTGGTCTGGGCCGATGGCGCCGCCCAAAACGACGTCAGATCGGATGAGCTCATAAAGGCCTCCATCAGCGACGCGTTGTCGTCCGTCCACAAATTCATCGTCGGCGGTATCCGATAGTCCGTCATGTGAAGCGATACCGTCTTAGTGACGTAAGAGTAGGTGTGGACGATGGAGAGAGGATAGGGTGCGGAGAGAAAAAGAGAAGGTAGAGAGAGAGAATTTTGATTTGGGGAGTTTTGAATTTGTGTTTGGGGATTTTATTTGGAGAGCATTTGAGCTGAATTTTGGTTGGGGAGGAAAGTGGGTGGAGGGTGGGAGGAGAGAGTGAGTGGACCAAAAGTTTACTAGCGCAAGCCAAGTAAAAAGGAAAGGGAAGTTTCGGGGAAAATCGGGTTGGCCGATTTAATCGCCAGCGTAGATCAACCAAAAGCCGGCGTATGTACATCTATCTAAAGCTTGGACGTGCGTCACGTGCGTTACACGTGTAATAGCTGGAAACTCTTTGACTTTTGACCATGAGGAAATGGGCTTTGGAGTTTGGACTTCCGACACTGCAAGTTGCAACACTAGCACCACAATCACGTGCGGAGGCATGGCTTATTTATTACAAAAATATAAGTTTAAATAGAAAATGATAATAACAATAGAAATGTGGGTTTTGGGGATAAGATGATTTTCGAAGATCTTTA